CAGCGGGTCTGGGGGCGCCTTGAGATTCCCCTAAGTGCAAAGCCCCTGAAAGCTTTTGAATGCTAAAATTTTAGTTGGCCAAAAATGAAGTCTTCCAAGAGGACACTTTTTTATTTTCCTTGTCGTCATTATTGATAAATTATTCAAAATTAAATTAAATTTCCATGATCAATCGAAACACCGATATTATATTATAAAATAACGCGTTTTGATGTATTTTTTTAAGAGACGCACGTACAGGACATATACTACAAAATTCAAGCAAAAAACTTGATATTCATCTTCAAAACTTCAATGATTACAAAAATTAAAATATTCTATAGCTTCTTTCATTTTCTGGTAAATGCCAGTTTCTACATTCAATTCCCGAGAAGGGTCCTCATTCTGGAAATAATCTTTAATTGAAAGTGAATACGTTTAGTCAAATATTGATTGACAAAATTACTTCACATGAACTACATATCATATGTAGATGAAGTACACATCATACAATCTTGACTTCTTTAAAAATAAAAAAAATTACTTAGTTGGGTTAATAAAATAAAAATGGTCCTTAAGAACTATTTCAGTTTGAGGGCACAGCCAAGCATTTTCCGAAGATACCACCAAGAAAAATTTATTCAAAGACGTAGCATCGTTTTTTAGGGGTGTGGTTGCGATTAAACGCTTGTCCTAGGACTACCTCAACGATGAACCCCGATTTGCTACGATTTTTGAATTTGTAATGAATCCTAGCTCCAAATCGTCGCTCCAGCCCCCCCCCCCCCCTCCTTCAAAACAAAAAAAAGGAGGAAAGAAAAAAATCTAGGCATAGTTTACTGTCATATGTTGATGAAGTAAAATATCAGCCATTTTAGTGTCAAAATAAGACTATTCATTAGAGCTTATGAATTCTATCCTTGACCCCCCACAGGACACTTTTTTAATCTAGCTGGTATTTATTCAGAGCTCTTGTCATCTCATAGCACTCCCTCTAACGCAAAATCCTGGATCCGCAACTGATACGGTATCAGTTCTTAAGTTACTTATATCTATATTCACGCAAAGGTAGATCAATTATCAACTAATATGTTTATTTCAATCAAACAGGACTTTTTTTTTTTTTTTTTTTTTTGATAATTCAAACGAATCTTTATGAAACTGCTTGTATTGATATGAAACAATAAAAACTAAATTATCATTATTTATTTTCTACATTTAAAAAAATTCTATTTGTAAGAGATCTAAAATGGAACATACATGATAAAATCAATTAAAAAGTGACACTGTTGAAAAGAACCTTTTATATATTTTTCATTGAAGTGATTGGCCTGTCTTACGCAAGCCCATGTCTTACATCTGTACCGCACAACTTTCAGTGCCCACACGATCACGAGTATAATGAACAAGATCGATGTCTTTGTGAAACACTGATGCCCCCGTATGGCAACTTTTAGAAAAGGTTAAACTTTCTCAAATACAAATCAAATATATGTTTGTACACAAAGTAAGGTCTTGTCTCGAGGAATATACCTGTGAAATATGAAAGCCCTAGCAGCAACCATTCAATAGATATGGAAAAGGTTAAAGTTTTTCAAAAGTAAATCAAACATCAAGGTCAAGGTCAAAATTAATGGTGCCCAAGGAAAGGCTTTCTCACAAGAAATACACATGTGAAATATGAAAGCCGTAGCACCTATCGTTCAAAAGTTATGGCCAAGGTTAAAGTTTTTCAAACGTAGGTCAAACTCCCAGGTCAAGGTCAAAGTTGTTGGTATCTGAGGAAAGGTCTTGTCACAAGAATTACACATGTGAAGTATGATAGCCCTAGCACCAACCGTTCAAAAGTTATGGCCAAGGTTAAAGTTCGGTAAAATTTTGCAAAACTGGTCAAACTCCATGGTCAAGGTCAAATGTGGAGGTACCCAAAGAAAGGTCTTGTCACAAGGAATACACATGTGAAACATGAAATTCAAAGCTCCAACCAGCCAAAAGTTATGGGCAATGTTAAAGTTTTTGCGGAGAAACAGACAAACAGACAGACAGACAGACGGACGGACATGGCAAAAACTCTATACCCCCGAATCTTCGATACGGGGGCATAAAAATAAAACCACGATTGATAGAGTAAACAGCAAACACAAGATTTATGGTTGTTGAAACACTTCCGTACTTTCATGTCTGTTTCCACGTTTTATTTTTTAAGCAGAAAGTGTATGAAAGAAACTGTATGAAATGCCTGTGTTCAATATCTTTTTATCATTCGTATATTTGCCTTTATATTTTACCTGATATGCTAAAACGAATTCTTTGTGTGTTTGTGCGAATATTTTTTATCTTTCTATAAATACATATTTTTCATAAATAATAGTTATACATGTAAATCGGTAATAAAATCAGGGACAATTTTATGCTTTGTAAAATGTTTTACTTATTAAAAGGTATAAACTGGTAGTAAAGCATAATAAACGTTAAAATGTAATAATCCTATGAGCAATTTATTTTTGTGTCAATGATAATGATAATTTGGGTTGAGGGTTTCATACAGGCCTACAATATTCAGGTTATATTCGGGGTCTAGGATGCAACCTGAATATGAGTAAAATCATAGCGGCACAACCATACATTTTCAGAGGGGGGGGGGCACTATCAATTATCAAAAATTCCATGACAACCCCTCCCCCTAAAAAAAGAAAGGTCATCAGACATTATTATTCTTTCTCTTATCTATTAAGCATATCAATATTGATCACAAAATAAGTTGCCAATTCCAGGTATACTGAGACGTCATTTTGTAAATGTAATACGTCATCAATACGCCGTTATAAGCCAACGTTAATAACACTGAGATCACTCTTGGTAATATTTAAATTCTTTCAATAGAATTTTAGATATTGACTATAAAAGTTATAAAAGAAAATAAAGAAATATACGTTCACAGTAAGCCCAGGGTGATTATTTCGGATGTATTCAACACTTGTGTCATGTAATTACATCATAATTAATTTATGAAATGCCGTCACAGTACAGATGAAACCGTTAACTAGGTAAACTTATTAAAATACACAGACCTAATATATACATTTGTTTTATAAAAAAAAAATGAGTTGTTAGTGTTTTCAAGTCGTAAGAATGAAGCTTTATACAAATTAATTTGTAAAAAGATTTTAAAAAGCCTGTGAAATGAAGGAAAAAAGTCATTGATAGCCATGAGTTAATGTTATCTACAGAACACAAATTATTAAAATTCGTCATGTCCGCATCTTTGTAAGGTTAAAATTAAGCGTTTAATTTAATGATTTTAATCAAATGATGCATTTGTAAAAGTTTGGAATACATACTCAGATGCGGACACATACAAAAATGTGTGAATACACAATAAATATGCAAAAAATCGTAGATTTCCGGAATACTTCCACGGTTTTGACTTTTACTGTTACTAATTGCTCGCGCTTTCTGCCAAACTTGTACCAAATATTTAAAGTTAGTGTCCTGGACATATGTTATAGACCATAGAATTATATATCACTTTACTTTATTTTTTAACATTTTTACAGGGCCAATTTTGACACATAACGACTTTTGTTCTTTATATTTCTAGCTAGAATTTGAGCTGGAGCCTGAGCCAATGTTGATAACCTACTTGCCAGATTATTTATTTTATTTTCAAGGGGTCAGAAATACTGTGGTTCATAAATGAAGAACATATTTATATCATTTAGTAGTATTACGGCTTTGGCGTTTTGTATTTTGCGCAAATGTAACATGATACTTTATGGAATGCTTTTTTGTTTTGAACCATTAAAAAATGCAGTATCGAATGCATCCACTAACCATTTTGGTTGATTATTTTTGCACAAAATGGTTTCCACACTTCTTTATCCATAGTTGCTGACAACTGTAGAGGTTCGAGCAACCGAAAATGTCCAATAGGAGTCAAATATGTGGTTAATTAACGAATACCTTGCTTTAAGCGGGCAAACGCACAAATACAAGAAATAATACCCGAAGCGAGCGACAAAATGCGGTAGTGTAAATCAAAGGTTTTTACAATGCTTGAATCTGGAGCTCTCTGGTTTATCTGTCCGAATTGTCTAAACCAGAGAGCTTCAGTTCTGAAGCTACCGTCACGGTAGCTCTGTAGGAATACCACTAGCATTCCGTGATGAAAGAACGGCCGCAGTAGACTTAAGTTGATAAAAAAAAAGGTAACAAATGATCTATCTCCAAGCGCTCTGCACTTTGAAGTGAAATTGCAGGTCTTTCGGATGAAACTTAAAAAACCGAAATGAAGTGTCACAGTAGGCGTTGGCATGATAAAGATCCCTCACTGCTTAATGGCCCTAAGTGTTGAAGAAAGGTCTTGATTTGAAGCCCTTCGCCGGTATATAGGGACGTCTCTATACGAACGGAAAATTCTCAAATGGGAAGTAAAACATAGAACCAACAAACAATCATTTAAGTTAAATAAATCACTTAAAAGAGATGGTTGACAAACATTTAGCCGTTTTATCAACTACTGTTTTTATGATTTAATATCTAAGGGGTGTGGTATATAATTATTTTTATCATAAAGTTAGTAGTAAATACACCGCTTTTGCACTGTGCAAAAGGAGTGAAATAAAAATACCTTATATCAACGACGAGTCCAAAAACTAGTCAAACGTATCAGACTGGCATGCAAAATCAAAAATTTATATCAAACTGGCAGAAATATTTTTAAAAAGTCATGTCTATTTATACTGAATATTATATATATATGCGATGAAATTAAAAGTATATTGTTAGGGATTGTCAGTACGAAAGCTAAACTGCATATAACTATTGTTTCCACAATAACCTTCAAAGCAAAGAAAATTTATGAAACAATAAAATAATTGTTTTTTAATTAGCATATAATTTTGCCCTTTTTCGAGACAAAGAAAACAAAAATGAAAGTCATTAAAACAAAAAAATTGGGCAAACAACATTGTTTTTGATGACATAACTGTATTTTTTTTTTTTTTTGAAATATCAGAGATTCAAGGAATCTCAATTCCACATTCGATGTAATCGAGCGAGTACCACCAATAATAACTGGAAGGGCATCCAGTAACGCCATAGGTAAACTGCCAATAGTTACTGTTTCGACAATAACCTAAAAAGCAAAAATAAATGATGAAGGAACAATGCACAAACAAAAAAAAATCAAATACAACTTGAATATAATTAATCATTCAGGACAAAGAGAGTGTAAAAGTTATCCATGTATTGATAACTGTGCACCGAACTTCAGATTAAACAATTGCGCTTCTGAATACCTTCGATGAAACCTATACAATTATCAAATGAATTAGACTTTCTATGTCGCTTATATCAGAAAACGTTCCTGTACAATTTTAATGCTTTGGTTACTGTCTTGCAATAAAAACCTAACAGTTCTAACCTTACTTACTTGTCTTGCTTCGGGGCCAACAAATTTATATATATATATATATATATATATATATATATATCTATATATCTATATATATATATATCTATATATATATGTATATATATATATATATATATATATATATATATATATATATATATATATATATATATATATATATATATATATATATATATATATATATATATATATATATGAGCTCAAATTTCAGTGCTGGGGGATCTTCAGCCATGGGTGATTAAAAATGTGCACTTATATGCATTAGATTGAGTTTTAAATTGTCAAAAGTCAGTTACTTTTTACTTAAAAGCTGTAGAGTTAGATTTGGTGTCATTTTTATAATGATTATGATCATAGTATGGCAAATCTTAACCAGATTCACTTGTTAAAAATTAATTTCTATTGAATTTTGTTCGAATTTTTATATATGGACCCTCAGTAAATATTTTGCGGAATTCAACTTGCGTGACTGGAATTTGACCACTCTTGATTATTTGGTATAATTGATGTGCTTTAAAAATTTAATGTCAATGTTTATCCTTTTACATTACATATAATGAATTTAGATATTAAAGACTCCTGTTCATTTTTTGTCTAATGCATGTGACATTTAAAACGATGTCCAAACCAAATTTGACCACTTGTAAACGAAAGCTATGTTTCATTCTATGCAAAATCCGGGAAAGTACTAACATTAAACATATTACATACATAATGAGAAATACTTTTACAAAAATTTATCGACGTTTGTCTCAAGATTTCTGTCTGTGGATCAAATTTGAATGGAGAGGAAGATTCTATATATGTATTTGGTATCACTTGTGAACAGAAATGAAAAGGGGTCGTTCTTGGCCTTTGGTCAAAATTCTATACTACACAAACTCATTAGTAACGAACATCTTTCTTGAATCAAACTTATTTATATTCAAAATACCTCCACTGAATCTAGCTTTGATTATCTAATGAATACCGTATAAGCAGAATTTTTAGTGAGGGTTAAATCGAGTGTGTTGAGATAGCTAAAATTGAGTATTGCTGACAATTAATTGCGGATCGGTTGTAATAGCTTCTCTCAATGGCATTACAAAATCCGTAAATTACATCTCGCTTAAAACATATTCCGCTTTTTAAGGATAAATCTCTATATTTGTGTCTCGCTAAAAATTTCACATAAACGATATTTCTGTCCAGTATGTGTACTTATATGTAGATTAAAATAATTAAAATTTAGTATATTTGTATGTCATAGATGGTTTAGCAGAACCATGAATTACAGCCTCAAATATATGTTAATCTTGTTATGAATTTATGGAGTATATACAACATGAAGGGCTCTGAAATAGATCCTGCTCATTTTAGAACGTACGTATTTCGTATTTCACCATATCTTGTACTAACCTTGAATGTTATTATAATCGTCCGATTTGCAATGGCCAGAACGAGAAGAAGACCGCACCTCGTCATAGGGGTAACCATATACCAAATCACAGTTATTTTCACAAGAGTTATAGCGGAATATATCCATAAAATTACCAGATAAACTCGAACCTCCAAAGAGTTTATATCTGGCAAAAAATATTATAGACATTAAAACATTTCTTTATTTTTTCAATCATTTAATCTTTCTTTATTAAGAGGTTAATACATCTTTTTCAAAAATCAAACCAAATAGCACTAAATATATAGAACCTCATATTCCCGTGATCGTTACAGACGAATGCAGCTACGAAAGGCATGGAGTCAATTGTCGAATTCCGCACGTACGACACACCAAAGGAACATCCGTTCCAACCATTGTTCATGACAGAAACGTTGTACTTGTACCACCCTTTACACGAAAGATAGATAAATGGAAGGATTGATGGTTATATAAACACATAGAACAGACGTTTATACGCTGTAATGAACAAGAAATTATATATATATATATATATATATATATATATATATATATATATATATATATATATATATATATATATATATATATGACTGGTTTTAGTTTCAGCTCAAATAATTTCATTGTTTACCTTTAAAACGATAATCGAAAGAAAAAAATACGAACAATATACATAAATAACACTGTTAACTATCATAGTACCGATTACCATGTTTGCGAATTTTTTATTGCATGTCAGAAGTTAGATATAACATAGTTTACATGCTATTAAAGTCATCCATTTCAATTTCTTTTCTAGAAAATTAATATTTTTGTTGTTTCAATTTTTCAATATGTTTATCTTGATCGCCAATAGTACACACCATTGCTCTACGCCATGAGTGTTAATCCTGGTCAGGCTAAGTACTTATTATGTCTACAAAACGACTCAATTATTGAGTCTCTTAAACATTTTATTTATTCTATCTAATTGCTGAAAATTAAATCGCGTCATTGAAGAGGCCGTTACTTTGGATTATTGGGTCAGAAGCATTTCCCCGGACTTTCGACAGTTGGTTGCATCCTTGATTCTTCCTTTTCCTTTTCGACACAGAAAAAGAGCAGACGTACATTGCAACTGAAGTTGTAAATTCATTAATTCTATTATATTGTCGTTAAAAATGCTTAAGTGTTTGAGTTGTAGTGGCCCTCATCAATCGGGTCTTCTAACAATCAACATACTGCTGTTATTCAATGGTCTCTAATGGTTAAATGGTAATTGAAAAGAAACGGATGCTTCCATCATGGATAGAATTTTGGCTTATGCACAGGGAACTATCAGTTACTGATATTGTGCAAAAATCTTCAGCATGTACAATCAATTACTTCTCGTAAGATAGTGATTTTAGGTTGCTAAAATTGTTGATTGATGGAGCCTTAATAAGTAATATGGACCTCAAATCTGCGTTTTTGTTGCTTCCTTTTCACCCGTCTGGTTTTGAACTTTGTATGGACTAGGTGTTAAACAAAATGATATGTTTTTCTTTGATAAATGCCCGCCTTTCGAATGTTCAGTGTTTTGAAGTCATTTTGGGGAGTTTTTATCATGTTAAAGTAACAGCCTAGACAGGAATCTTTCATGAATTATCTTGAAGACTTTTTATTGCTTGCAGAGCAGGTAGCAATACGTGTGATGAATTTCTGTCATTAATTTCTTACGATTTCGGCATTCTCCACTATGGTCATGAACAAGTAAACACATGCCCTTTATTTTATGCAGATTAACATGGCAATAAAGTAATAAGTGGTTGTATGATTGGATGAATAATGTATATTGATGTTTATTAAGGTCTTCCGCTCCAGGCGGAAGACCTTCTACTGATTCTGATGGTTAAGATTATTCTTATTATTCTTTTTTTTTTCCCTAGACGCCAACTTTGAGACCTCATATCTTGCTCATTTCTCAACGGATTTTGCTAAAATTTGCAGGGTTTAAAGACGTTACAAAATTATATCAGAATACTGTCAAACATTTCAAAAACCCACTTCCGCTTTTGGGTTATCTCCCTTTAAATGAAAATTTAGGGGGCTTCATTTCCAGACAAAGGCTCAGAGACTACTGAAGCTGGAGTAGAAATTCTACCGAATTTAAATAATAAAAGCACTGAAGTTGTGCACATCGGTTTTTGTTTGTCAATTTCTGTATTCAAAATGGCGCTAGAGAGGGGTCAAAAATTAGAACGCCTAAAAGAGCGAAAATTTACACATATTTTCCTTTTTATCTTCTAAACTAAAAATATTTTGATAAAACATGTAGAATAAAAGTTGTGCACAATTTTAAGGCCTATCATTTGAGACCACTAAAAAGGGTCTGGCCCCTAAAATTAGGGATCTGGGGCCCTTTAAAGTTTTTGCTTTATAACTCAAAAACGGTAAATATTTCGAAATAGCTGTCGTAATTAAAGTTGTTATTTAACATCTTATTGATCTCAAGAAAATGTTATTTTGTTTGAGTCTTGTGTTCTAAATGAGCTAGAAGCATAACACATATACAGGTAAGTGTTTTCATTCAGCAAGTAAATAAGAGCTCTTCATGCGTGTAATTAAAATAAACTTACTATAAATAATAAACTTTGCTATATTAGATGCTAATATTCTTTAGAATCAGGTTTTTGAAGTATTTTGTGTTTTATTTCCAAATTATTTACTGACAACTTTCCCTTTTATTTCGTTTTGTTTTCAAATTTGGATAAACCAGTCTACTAAACAGGGAAAAAAAGATAACCTTTTCTTCTTATCATATAAAAACAAACAATAAAGTCAGAAAATAAAACAAAACTTTAAACATAGACTATTCACAGCCATTAAGTACACGCCTTTTACATTCACCTCGTGTGTTTACAAGTATGTAACCCCTCCCTCGATAGCGCGTGGCAAAGGAGGTCACCGAGGATCAATCGGCGTGTGAACCAGCGACCTAAGGTCATACACAAAACAAACCATAGAATGGCCATTCCAAATACATTTTAACTAAGTGATGAGTGGATAAATATGTTGAATCTTTCAGATTATTTCATATCTTTGATTAAGTCGCTAGTACATTTCGATTTATATTTTATTCGCTCAATTACAAGAAAGTGCATATTTATTCTTATAAACATTGCATTGTTGAGATAATTGCGATTTGTGGAAAATTACTTTAAAATCATTTCGAATCTTTCATATGATTCCGTCTTACTGTTTAATTATCACTCGCTCGTTTTAATCAGCTAGTCTTAAGTGCCTTTCACTTATTCACTTCAAATTCAATGCATTTTGAATGCCGAAAAGACCACTTTCTTTGCGTATTAAAGAAACAGTTTATTTATCTCTCTAATGTTATTATTTAACGAGTTGCTATTTCTTTCATGAACATTAAACAGGATGTATATAATTAAAAATGATAATTGTATGTAGAGGTCACATTTTTAATTGTCAGGAAAATCGAAAATAAAATTAAGTACTTTTGAGTTTGTATTATTTTCTTCCTAACTTACAATATTATTGCATACAAAATACTAGGTCGGATGCATGTAACTTAACCGCCTCAATATTTCACTTGTATTTGAAAATTCTATCGAGCGTCGAATGAATTTTACCCTTTAAAAAGTGTACCAAAAAAGAACCCTTCCTATGCAGTTTTCTTTGGGAATCAATTGGCTTAGATAGTCTACTCCGACATGTGTTGACAAAACTCACGCAATGAGAAGCCATACATTTCAAACTTGTGACCTCTTGGTCAGTGCATGTGAAGATTACGAATGGAAATTAGTGTCTGGAAAACGAAGTATGTTTTATAAGTTATTTGACAGGTTAAGATTTGTTCTCATTCCAAATTAAATACAACACAAACCCTTTATTTTCTTTGTTATTTTATACCGTCAGTTATATTAGATAGATTGTTTTAAAAACGTGTTGTTTAGGAAGATTAATCTTATGCATTTGTTTTATTTCATCTAATAAATTGAATTTATCCATGACACAAATTATTGGTACATGCATGTAAGTACGCGTAAATGCGATTTAATTTGTTTATGCGGAAGAGCGCCCAAAATAAATACACTTCGAACTCTGGAATTTCCCTATTTTACTGTTTAAATCATAGGTCCACTCAGCTGACGAGTTGTTTTAATAACGGTAATGAATTATACTAGTCCTGGCCAGCGATCGTTACGGTTGGTGACATTGCAATTAAACAGGTCGATACTAAGGTACTAAGATACTAATGGGTGTATATATTTTCACCTAATATGTTTTCATTGAGTGTTTTCATAAGAAGTAAATTGCTGGAGGATATCATGTTCTCCCTGATCACATCGATAGCGTGTAGAAACAGCGGTATATGAACACACGCTTTTGTGTACAAAGCAAACGTGTAAACCAAAAGGATGGAAAAAAAAAACGACGAAATAAAAACATTTCTCTATTAACTGAAATTATTGTGTTTAGACAGATAAAAATAAATGATTATCCGCCTGAGAACATGTGAAAATTATACCCAAATACAATGTAACGAAGGATTTTGGGTTTAATCCCGAGTACACAATTATAGCAATGATGTGTACATGTACATGCAGAATGCCTCTTTTTTTATCCTTCGTCCATGTGTTCCTCCTTAACGGAAAAAATTATCAGTAAATTATATTATACCGAACGAGGTTGAAAAATGCCGAACTTTATTTCTTAAAATTAAAAGCAATTATCCGACTTTTCTCATATCACTGTAAAAATGCCGTAAAAACTAAAACCGTCTGGTTTGACTTTGTCAACGCGTTTTAGATCGGGTTTGAGATTTTTAATAAATGTCTGGAGTATTTCGCTTATTCTGCAAGTCCGTATAATGAAAGAAAACACTGACAGATTTAGAGGAGGTTCAGGGGGCCTGATTGGAGTGGGGCTTGGGGGCGCACGCCCCCCCCCCCCCTAAAATTTTCAAAATATGACATGACTAATATTAATAATGCCATACTTTGGTTTTATAATTAATGGTCAATTAAAAAATGGTAATTTTATTTTATGACCAAGTATCAGTTTTCTTAAAAATCAAGTCTGAAAACCTTGCATTCCCTAGGCTATGAATATTATCTCATAAGTATTCAAAGCGGAAAACGTCTCCCGATTTCGTTTGAAGGGTAGACAGCACTTGTCAATTTCCTATGATGATGCAAAGAAAAATACTGCAATATTTAAAGGCTGGTCGAAGGTAAATAACATTCGGCAAACCTCGGCTGATTCCGTGACCTTCATCCAGATGAGGTACGAATCGGCCGAGGTGTGCCGAGTGAGGTAAATAAATGAATTTAAAATCAGAAGGTCTACGTTACAAACCTATCCACTGATTGATGTATTTATTTATCAAATGGTGTAACTATGCAGTAATTTACTTACATAGATACAAGACTTTTTTTAAC